TAGTGGGGCATCTTGGCTGTTTCCATAACTTGGCTATTGTGAATAGTGCTGTAATAAACATGGGTGTGCAGGTGCCTCTGGAGTAAGCTGTGTCACATTCTTTTGGGTATATCCCCAAGAGTGGTATTGCTGGATCAAATTGTAGATCAAAGTTTAGCTTTTTAAGGAGCTTCCAAATTTTTTTCCAGAGTGGTTATACTAGTTTACATTTCCACCAGCAGTGTAGGAGGGTTCTTTTTTCCAGGGGTTGCTTCTTGGCTCCTTATTTAGGGCAGGGCCTGAAGTCAGAGCGGAGCAGCCGTCTTTTCTTTCTCCAGTGACTTCAGGGCTGGGTGACCTTGGTCCTAAAATACAATCTGATGCTGGATCTGATGTGGCAGGAGCCACAAAACTCTGATGAGGATCCTATGGGTATAGCACACTGCATCCCCGAAAGCCTGGAGAACAGAGGAGGGTTTCATCTCTGGGTCAGGAAGGGCCTTCCGGGCTGCTGTGGGATGAACCTGGGAGAGGGCTGGGTATGTTGCAGCAGAGGGGGAGACAGAACTTCTCATCCACTAAACGTTTCTTAAGCCCCTTCTGTGTGCCTTGTGCACGGGGGTGTCAGCAGAAACACGGCAGACAGAAATCTCTGCCCTGTGGAGCTGACATTATCATTTGGAGAGGCACATGATGAAAAAGTAAAACATGCAATAGGTTCGAAGGTAGTAAATGGTAACAAGGAAAAATAAGGCAGGGATGGTGTGAAGAGTGATATCTTTTCCACCAAGCCTTAGTTCTTATGTGGACTCTGACTGGATCTAGGAACTGAATTACTACAAAGCTGATGGAGAAGAGAACAACAAGTTTTATTAAGTTTACATGTACATGGGGATCTGCACAAGAGAGTGAAGCCTGAAGAAATGACCAAAGCATGATGCTTTTATACTTTCTAGACAAAGAATAATAAATTTGTAAAGGAATGACAGGACAAATGGGCCACTGGATGAGGGTAGTAAATTCTAGAATGTCTCTAACAGATATATAGGGGCATGTGAGCTCCACTGGAAGGGAAATTATTTATTCAGGTTCACTGCAGCCCCAATTACCAGTCTCTGGTGGCCTGCCTCATGTGGGGAAGACTCCCCCTCCTCCCTGATAGAATCTTTATGGCTTGTGCTATAGGAAAAGATGAACCAAATGGCCTTTTTGAAGCTACAATTCCTCGAGTGATTCCATCTGGAAATAATCAACACACTGATTTGAATTGTTTTGAGATGGCATGTCCTTAACTCCTGCCATAGGGAGTGTATACATGTTGACATTTTAGATGGGGCCTCCTAATTTAGGAGGAACATGGAATAAGGCCTGAAGAAAGCAAGGAATGGGCTGGGTGGGTCCCCAAGGGAAGGGTGCTCCTGGCCAGCATGTGAGGAAGCCAGGCTGGCTGGGGACTTGGGAGACTGGTGGGAAGGAAGTCAGAGGTGATGAGGGAGCTGGACACTTAGGACCTTGGATATTGTAAGATGGACTCCCCTGGGAGCCAGAGGAGGGCTCTGTGCAAGGTGGCAAGACCTGCAGGGTAAGGCCAGGGTCATTCTGGCTGCTCTGATGAAGACAGGTTGTAGGGTTAAGGAGACCAGCATGGAGACCAGTTAGAACCAGTTAGGAGGAGGCCTCTGCCATGTTACATATGAAGGGTAGGCACACTGTGTCCACCACTGGGCCCCCAGCACGCGGCATGCTTCCTGGCACGGGGGAATTGAACTAGTCATACCCTAGCTCCAGTTCTTAGACTGGGGCCAGGTACAGGAAAACAGAACCCAGGCACTGAAGCTGGCATCCCGATCCAACAGGTTTCTGGTGGGAAAGAGGAATTTGAATTTTTAACATGGTCTGCAGGTATTTCCAGGCAGGCAGGAGTGGCCTTTTGTATCAGGAATGCTTTTAGTTGCAAGTAACAGAGACTGACTAACAATGGCTTAAACAGGGATTTAGTTTTATTTACTAAGAATTCTGGAGAAGGACAGCAGCTGGCATTGGCTTGGTCAAATGATAGGGCTCTATGATTGTCTTGGCCTTTTTCTTGTGTAGCAAAGTGGCTGCTATAGTTCTAGGGATCATATTCTTAATCAAGTCAGGAAGAAGAGAGAGGTAAGGGGAAAGCATGAGCCATGCCTCTTTTTGTCAGAAAAGCATAAGCGGACTTCTGCTTCCATTTCATTGGCCATGCCCAGTCACATGCTCACCCCAAGCTGTGAAGGAGGCTGGAACAAGAGAATCTGGATTTATAGCCTCTCTAGTGGGAGAGATAGCACTGCGCTGGCCACTAGGGAGTGCACATGGTGTCTGCATGGCTCCCAGGTGACATGATGCTTGAGGTCCCTTCTACGCCTGGGATTTCATCTCCACAACTTGCCATCTCCAAGGAGCACCTCTGGGGACCACTGAGGGGAACCTCAAGCATTCCCTTGTGTGGTCCTACTCCATCCAGGACATAGTCTCGTGTCTCTTCCAAAGTCTGAACAGCACAAGACCGCTGAGGAAGACTCCTTTGGGGAGCTGGTGGAATTTACTTAGGAATTGTGCCTTTTCAGCATAATCCTTACCTGGCAGATCCTTAAAATAGCTATGCCACATTCTCACCAAGACAGTCACATCAGGGGCCTTTAGAGCCTGACTTATACACATACACACAGGCAGCACGTCTATATTTACACTGATATACTGGCACCATGCACAGGAAAAGGACATTTTCAATCACTCTTGAGCCACCCAGTAAGAGCAGGTATGAGACTAGGATGATCCCTGTCTTCCTGTAGGTCCCTCTGGTGCTTCCAGGAATCAGATCCTCCTAGGGCCAGCTTTTCCCATAGTTCTGGGGAGGGAAAGGAAGTGCTATTCCAGCACTGCTCCAGCATCTTCAATCCTCACCGGAGGTGAGGATTTTATTCTTTAGGAGAAATGATTCAGGCCTGGTTTATTCTGCAAATCTCTAAAAATGGCATAGGGGCAAAAGGTTAAAATATTTGAGTCTTGACAGGAAGGGATTTTTTGAGGAAGAAGATTGGTGGATTCACTGGAGCTGGTCCAGGTTGGAAGGGCGGGGGGAGGTCTCAGGTGACAGAGGCTGGAAATCAGAAACTAAGAGGCGAGTCCATGGGTGTGCAGTGGGATTTTCAAACTACTGATTACATTTTCAGAAGCCCTATTGGAAACCATGCATATTTACTTTCTAAAACGCTATAGAAAAGTTAAAATTTCTTCTTTTTCTTTTTGGCTAGCATTGCCTAATGGCGTGGTCACACCAGTAAGAAATGCAGATTGGCAATTACATATAACTCTGGTGAAAACAGGGACGATCACATAAGCAGTACAATTTGCTGGGCAGGTCCTCCAGGGTCAGGAGTTCCTGGGGTGGGGTGGATAAGGAATGAAGTGTCCTTGGGGCTGCAGGTGGTGTTGGGAACCCCCAGGGCAGAGGTCAGTGAGAGGTAGATGTGTTTCTGATTCACATTCACCTGGATGCTCTGGATGTTCAAAGTGTGACCCTCAGCCAGCAGCCCCGGCCTCCGCTGGAAGCTTGTTAGCTGTGCAACCTTACCTCCTACCCCAGGTCTATTGAGCAGGAAGCTGTGTCCTAACAGAATCCCTACTGGTTCATACGCACAATAAAGCACTCTTTTTAACTGTGAGCAGGAACACCATAGCCCTGGTGAGGTGTGTTTACCCAGTCCAGACAGTGACAACTGTGGATGGGAGAAATAAAAGCACAAGCACAGGGGCAAAGCCTGGCAAGCCTAACAAAACTGCCTTAGTACTCTTTCAGCCTGGTGAAGCAGCCTCCTATGGGCTGCTCTGCCCTACCTCTGCACAGACAGCTTAGCCTTTCTCCCTTCGGTGGCTTTCAAGGCAGTGTCGCTGATGCTTGCTTAGCTGCCCCACACCTGTCCTCAGGTACAACCACAGGTGGAATTGTTGCATTGGAGGTTCCTGGTGGGAAGGTAGGAGCAGAACAGGGTAGGCCAGAGGGGCTCCTGACCCTCCTTCTCTGTCAGGAAAATCTCCTTTGAGGGCTCCGAGTCAGGAATGGGCCTTGGAGAAGGCTTTCCTGGCAGTGGATTCCTTTTGGGGCAAGAGGAGTGGGTGCTCAGAAGGAAATTTCTAGAAGGGGCCCACAGCTTTCCCTGTCTGGAGCTTGAGGGTCTTCCCAGCTTCCCAGGGAGGGTAAATACATTTCTACTGGAGCAGGTGTGAACAACGCAGATGGCCCCCAATGCTGCCAGGTATGGAGGGTGGAGGAGGGGCTTGGGTCAGCAGACAGCCAGCTCTACAGTGCTCTCTCTTCACTGGTCAGAGTAGTGATTCTGCGCAGATTTTCCCGGACTTTGATAAACTCAGGGGCGTGGTCCTCTTCCTTTTCTGGGGGTTTTTCCAGCTGAAGGAGGGAGAAGTGGAGCTATGAAGTGGGTGGGGCTGGGGGAGTCCTATCCTCTGAAGTCCTGGGATTGGACCAAGGGTCCTCTCAGGAGGAAAGCAGAATCAAACTAGGGATGGGTTTTGCCACTAATCTGGTAAGTAAGGGACAGAGCGTGAGTCTGAGTTACCCTTGCAAAGCCTGGTTTAAATCACTTCCTCTGGGCTGGGATTCCCACCTCTAAGATGGGAATGGCACTTGTTCACAGGGCAGAAGTAGCTTGCAGGACATTGGATCAATGAGGGAACTGAGCGGCAGAGAAGGGAAGTCACTGGCCCCAAGTCACACTGTAGACCAGTGGTGGATTCTTGATCCCATGTCCCTTGTGCCCATACTTCTCCCAGGGCCAGGACATAGCCATGGAAGCTCAGGCTGGGCCCGGGTGTCCTCACCCACCTGGTTGAGCCTCTGCTGGCGCCTCAGCAGCTCCTGCTCAAAAGGACACTGCAGCCGCTTGGCCTCCAGCTCCTCCTTCTTCTTCTTGATGAGCTGGTTCCTGCGACGGTGCTCCAGGACACGCTGCAGCTCTGGCTTGCTGTCCACACCAAGGCCCCTGGAGTGGGGGAGCTGTCAGGAGACCCTTCCCTCCCCCCCAGTCAATCTCACCCTTGTTTCCTGCAATACTGGGAAGTCCTGGGAGATGGAACCATCATTTCCCATTTTACAGAGAAGAGCTGCCAGATCTCAAGACACAGCGCAAGTCACTGCTATAACAGGGCAGGTGGAGGATTTGAACCCAGACTGTCTAACCACAGAGATCAGATTTTACTTAATTTCTGTGTATTTTCTTAGGATGAGGTTCTAAAGGTGGAATTTCTGGGCCAGGATCTTTTAAAAGATTGTGAGTACATATTTCCGTTTGCCCCTTAGAAAGGTTATCCAATATATTGCTATCAACAGTGGGCAATCTCCCTGTCATCACCAACCAATCTTTCTATGTTTAGAACCTTGCAGGCAAGAAATGTTATCAGTTTTCATTTCTTTCCTTGATTATTAGTCACACAGAACAGCTTGTGACATGTTTATCAGCCATTTGCATTTCTTCTTTTATGAATTGACTGTGCCTACTCTTATCTTTTCCTTACAGATTAAGATAACTGAATATATTAGAATTTTTATGTGTATATATTTATTTTCAATATCATTTATTTATATTACAGATATTGCCCCTGGTTTGTCTTTTAGCTGCTGTTTTTTGATTGTGGTGATGTTTTTGTGTCTTTTTTTTTTTTTTTTTTTTTTTTGGCAGTGCTGGGGTTTGAACTCAGGGCTTTGAACTTGGCAGGCACATGGCTCTACTGCTTGAGCCATGTCTCCAGCCCGTGGTATGTCTTTGGATATTAAAAAGGATGATAATTCTAAAAGGCAAGCAGAGAAAATGGTCTTGTTATAAAACTAAGTGAAAATAAAATTGAAAACAGGCCAGTGTACAAAAGGATAATTACTAGAATGGTGGTGTTACACAGCTGAAAACCAGAATAATTGCACCCAGCTCCAATACTAGAGCTGGTCAGCAGAGGGAGCTATGGAACCACCTCCACCTTCATCCTGGCACTGGAGAGCTGGTCCCTATTTCCCAGGCATCAGAGAGGAGCCTCACTCATTGCATCTGGTACATTGCAGTGGAAGAGCCACCTGAGCCTTTTTGTAACATTGCTAGTCCCCTCTTCTACCACTATGAGCCCCATGTTAGACATAGGGGCCTTTTTGGAGCACTGAGACTTTGTGCCCCTCCTTTAAAAATGTCTTTTTGGCGGTACTGGGGATTGAACTTAAGGCCTTGCACCTGACTTACTTGTTGAGATGGGGTCTTGTGAACCTTTTTCCTGAGCTGGCCTCAGATGGTGATCCTCCAAATCTCTGCCTCTGGAGTGGCTTTTTGATTGCCATGTGGGCCACTGTGCCTGGTCTATGTGCCTCTTCTATTGAGGTCCTCCCCAGTCCATCCTCCTCCTCTGGGTGGTATCTCACAATCTCGCACCAGTCACACCAAGCTACTTGTGTTTCCTGCCCATTTGCACGTGCTGTCCCCTCAGCATGCAAGGCCCACCTTCCTGCCTGGATGACTCTTGTCTCCCTTCAGGCCTCAGTTAAGGGTGTCACCTCTTCTGTGAAGTAGTAGGAGGATCCCATGTCCCTCCTCTGGGATCCAGGCCCATTTATGCCCTCAGCAAGGCAGCCATTTTACTCTTGTTTAGGTGTCCCTCTCCCTCCCTGGAGGCAGGAGCTGGGTCCCCTTCTTTCTTGTACCCTAGGTCTGGGCACACTGTAGCACACAGTAGGTGCTCAGTAAATGTACCTGGAGTGAAGGCATGAAGTGGGTAGCTGGGAGGGAAAATGGGGCTTTGGTTCTAAGGGACCTTCACAGTTTCTGCTGGTGACCTTGTGGGACATCCACCCTTCTCTGTCCCATCTCCTGGAGGGTGGCCAGGCCTGCCTGGCTGCCTGTCTGCCATGAGGGGACTCTCCAAGCCCCAGAGGCCTGCAGAATGCCTTCTGGGCCTAGGAAGCCAGCACCATCCCACCTTCTGTGGTTCATGAGCAGCTCTCGGTGCAGCTCCTGGTGACTCCGGGAGGCTTTCACTGGGTTCAGCAGCTTCTTGGGCTTGATGAGCTCTGGGTTCCATTCTCCGTACTCTGGCCGGGCCATGAGGCCCCCGATGTCTGCCCGCTCCCTCTGGATCTCTGAGTACATGGAGGCTGTCAAGAAGGATGGAGGAGTTGTTCAGAGCGGGCCCAAAACACCTTTCTTCCCTGGTGGGGCACAGGTAAAGGTGCAGGGTTTTGGTGTCAGTTGTACTTTGGCAACCTGTGTAACCCTGGGCAAGCCACCTGACTTTCTGAGCCTTGGTTTCCTCATCTATAAAATGAAGTAATAATTGAACCTATTCGCAGTGTTGGAAGTGATATCTGTGAAGTGTCTGGGATAGGCAAGGAAAGTGGTGCTGGTCAAGCATAGTAATCTCAGTCAGGCCTGTAATTTCAGTTACATGGGAGGTGTAGATAGGAGGATCTTAGTTCGAGGCTGGCCCTGGCAAAACCTCAAGACATTATCTGAAAAACAACTAATGAAAAAAAAGTAGTACTGGGTCACAAAATATGGGTTAATGCTAGTATACATTTTTGGCCTGACTTTGCAAAAAAAACAATCTCCCCCACCCTGCAGCAACAAAAGGGATTATGTTTGAGTTTCTATTTTTCCACAAGCTTGTAGCAGAAAAAAGAAAAAGTGTTAAAAAGGAGTAATATGTATGTGTTGAAGATAGTTTAGATAAATGCACTGACAGAAGGAAAATGTCACCTCTTTTTGTCCAATTCCCTATCCATAGTTCCAAATTTGCTTGTGGAGGAGTTCGGCTTTTCACTGTCTCCACATCAGAAAGCAGAGTGGGAAAGGCAGGGACTGTTTGTCCCTAATTAAGGGATGTCGGCACTTGTAAGTAAATGTCTGGCTGGTGTTACCTCCCTTCTACCAGAGCAGCTTGAAACCTGTCAGTATACTTGAGAGTCAGGCAGAAGGGCTCCCTTGGCTACAAAGTGGCTCCTTATTCTTGAAATGCTTGGAAGTGCTAGAGAGAGAGAGAGAGAGAGAGAGAGAGAGAGAGAGAGAGAGAGAAACTAGCCACTGCATGGCCAGCAGCTGCTTATAGTAATTGCAGAAAACATTTAGAACATGAACTCCTCCATGAATCCAGCTTTTCTGAGGTTGAGTCCGTTCTGCATGCCAAGTCTGGTCTGGTATTGGTAACTGGAAGTAAAACATTTGAGGTTTTGGTCTTGGAGAACTAGTACCCCAGGACATGTGGGAAGTGAAGGAGGTATCCCCATCTCACACACTGGGTCTCAGTTCCCTCTGGAGACCAAGTGGCCAAGTGGGAAGAGCCTGGAATCCCTGGCTGGCCTGAGCTTGCATGAATGGATGGACTGGACGGGAGCTCTCCAGTCTGCTGCTGGGGATGTGGTCTGTGTAAAACCTGGATGTGGCTAGCAGCTTGTTGGGGTCAGAAATGCAGAGGGGGTTTAGTGGGGTGGAAATTGCAAGGTGACACAGCTAGGGAATGGAGGCACCAAATGGAAGAGACAGTGCTTTGCAGGAGTGGCATGCCAGACATGTGGCATTCCTGTTATTACCATTACAGGCTGCTGTTAGGGGCAATAGTAAGACTACTTAAGTAAAAGTGTTGTGGAAACTGGAAAAGGTATTAATTATTATTAAGACACTTTGGATGTAGCCAGATTAAGTGTGAGGTGTAGAAACATATCTGCAATTTTTTTCTTGAATTAGTATTCTTAGAACTATTTCTAAAATGAGAATTCTAATTAGTTTCCTTTTCTTTTTCATAAGGCTGTTTTCAGGTTATATTTGTTCTAATTGTTTGATTCTTAAAAAATGGTTGTAATAGCATTTTGTAGTTACTTTAAAATGGGCACTTGATAAACAGTTGGCTATGTCTGTTCCCTGGCTCCTTTTTCCACAGTTATTTTCTAAGTCCTTGGGACCAACTTGTCTGGGAGTCAGTGTATTGGAACATCCTCATTCAAATTGAAGACTCCCAACCTTTTGATGCCTATTTATACCCATCCTTTAGCTGAGTAATTCTCAGCTTCACTCTTTCCTTCCCATGTGCTCAATTCTCATCCTATTCAGGTCTTTGTTACACCACACTTTAATAATTACTGTGATTCCTTAGCCGTTCACTCTACCTTAGTCTCTTTGTGTCCCAAACGTCCCAGAGCTGCACGTTTCATCACTGACACCACCTTTAAAAAACTAATTGTATGTTGCTAAAGTGACAGGACAGGAAACAGAAATAAACTGTATAACTTTAGGAAAGGAGATGGTGGAATGAATATTGAAAAAGGTGTAGCAATGTATCCAGCAAAACATTGGGAGAGAGAATTCAGTAATCTGACCAGATGCAAAACAAGTACACAAAATCAAAAGCCCTTCCATAACAGGAATGGCCATTGAGAAAGTATTTAATAATAAAAGATAGAGCCAGGTGCTGGTAGCTCCTGCCTATAATCGTAGCTACTTATGAGGCAGAGATCAGGAGGATTGAGCTCTGAAGCCAGTCTGGGCAAATAGTTCATAAGACTCTATCTCAAAAATACCTAACACAAAAAAGGGTTTGGTGGAGCTCAAGTGGCAGAGCGTCTGCCTAGCAAGCATGAAGCCCTGAGTTCAAACCCGGGTACCACAAAAAAAAAAAAAAAGCATTCCACAAATGTTTGGGTTCCACTAATTTGTCAGGTACTGTGGTGGACACAGGACACACACAGAGAGGGGACCTAAAAAAGAAGGTCCCTGTTCTTAAAGAGCCAGCACTCTAGGAGGGAGGCAGACAGTAACCACACATACAAATCAATAAAATCAAACAATTACAAATGAAGATGAGTTCCATGAACAGAAATAGGTAGCTTTGACAGAGTTTAATGAAGGGCCCACCTTCAGCCAGGTGCAGGGGAAGGGCTGCTCTGGGGGGAGGTGACATTTAATATCTGACTGTTGAGATTGAAGGGTGAGGCAGCTTGGAGCTGAGGGACCAGCATGTGTGACTCATGTACCTTGAACAAGCTGGATCTGTTCATCTGAACACAAAGGCACAGTGTGCCTGGTATGGCATGAGAGAGCCAGCAGTGCTGGGAGTGAGGGTGGACGGGTGGGTTTAAGTGCAGGAAAGGGCACGTCTGATTCAGTCTTTAAAGGTCATTCTGGCTGCTGTATTGGGAAAACCGTCAGTAGGGTTAGGGAATGTTTTAGGACTGGTTTCCTTCACTCCCACTGGGCAGTCTCTGCTTGCCTGTCTCCCATTAAATTCCAGAGGAGAAAACCCCTTTAATTGGCCTGACTGAGGACCACAGGTCACCAGCAGCCCATGGGTTGACTGCCATGGGGTCAGTCCTTCAGGAGGACTCATCTACAGGGTGGCCCTTGAAAGAGGGTCCCTGTTTGGTTTAACCTTCTGTTGTCTCTGTCTTGAAATTCCTGATACATTTTGAACATGTGATCCTGCATTTCTTTTTGCACTGGGGCCTGCAAGTGATGTAGCCCTGTAGCTCGTGTCTAATCAGTGACCAGCAGTGGCTCGCTCCACTCCAAATCCTCCTTTCAAATTAAATCAGTGATGTATGGGAGAGGACACCTGGTGTGATAGGTGAGGCTGGAATTCCAAAGATGAGGCTGGTTCTTCAGCCCAGAGCTGTAGCTGGGAAAACTGCTACCCTTAACCCCTCTAGGGGCCAAACTCTAGCAAATAGTATGTGTGAGATCCAGTGTGTCAGGATGGAATAGGGTAGGGAGGGGAGGGCTTTAGAACTGCAAAGAGCCTCCTCTCTTTTAATTTAAGTAAGGAAGAGTGGTACACAGGTCCTGTCACAAAAGGAGCTGCTCAAAAGATGCTTGCTGTATGGGCAGCTGTAGTAACCAGTACCCAACCCTCAAGGCTATACTAAACATTTTCCAAGCACTGCCCAACTCCAAAGCACAAGAAAATCTAGGCTGTCCTGGGCCTCAGCTAGGCCTCCTCAGGCAGGGGTCTTGGGTTATTCCTGAGCTGCTGTGCTCTGAGAAATCCAACACCATTGGGGAAATGGCCTTCACTGGGCAAACAGGTGAGGTGGGCATTAGACAGGTTATCTCTGAAAAGAAAAAGATAAATGCCTAAAGGCATTTATCAAGAAGGTCAGGAAGGGGAAAATAGGCTGGATGTGGTGGCACATATCTGGAATCCCAGCTTCTCTGGAGGTAAGGGTAGGAAGATTTGCAGCCCCAGCAAAGTTAGAGTGAAACCCTATCTGAAAAACAAACAAAAAGCAAAAATCTGGGAGCAAGGCTCAAGTGGTAGAATATGAGACCCTGAGTTCAGTCTCCAGTATGCTGTGCCCACCCCCGCAAAAGAAAACAAAGAAAAAGAACATTACATGTGATTAATTCCCTTTAAAGATATGCAGAAGTGTATGTATGGAAGGAATATGGAATTTGGAGCCATTCAGGCCTGAATTTGAATCTTAGCTATTGAGTCTGAAAACTACTGCCTTGGGCCCAGATCCCACAGACTTGGAACCTAGCCACGCCCACTTGTTCCTTATTGTCTATGGCTGCTTTCCGGCAAGAGCAGCAGAGTTGAGTAGGCAGGACAGCTGCTTTGGGTCTGGTGTTTTCTCTTTTGGAAATGGGTAGTGCCACAGAACTCTTCTGCTCGGGGCTCTTGAATAATAAAAGTTGATACTAGCAAAGTGCCTTGCAAATGCCTAGTGCAAAGCTGAGTGTTCAGTACCAGCTCTGCCACACACAGCAAGGTAGGCTGTGCACTGCACAAATCTAAGGCTTCAGCTCCCATAGGTGAAACTGAATGGTGCCCTGGAAGCACACGGTGCGACTGCCCTGTTATCTGCTCTCAACAATTGCTATTAATAAATCCCATTCCTGGTACTGGATTGAGTTCTTTCATTCTCTTTAAAAACAGTGGTTAGATCAGCAATCCTAACTTTGGTTGCGTGTTGGTGTCACTGGACATTTGAAAATACTAATATCCGAGTTGACCTCAGGGATTCTGATTAATTAGTTTGGGGGTGCAACTTGGCCTTTGAGGCTTTTACGAACTCTCTAGGAGACTCCAATAGTCAGACATCTTTGTAAACCTTGGAGTTTATAAAAAAAAAAAAGCAAAACAACCAAGTTCCTTTGCTTGGGCCTGAGTGAGTCCAGCTGACTGTGGTGGCCTGGTTACTGTGAGCAGGTCTGATGAAGGACACAGTTCTTTGCAGCTGTGTGACCTCAGGTTGGTCTTTAACCTCTGAGGACCCTCTTCTGGAGAATCATGGCATGAATATTGATGGAGTCAGTGCTGAGCATGGGTTGAAGGAGCTGGCAGGTGGCAGCTAATCTTGGAGTCTTATGTGACCATAGGATGGGCAAATCCTTTCCTTTCCCACTCAGTTTGAGTCTGGGGCCAACTTCTTTCAAGGTGTGGGGGTAATAGGAGGCAGAGAGATGGTGGGAACCCCTTGCTTGGTTCTTGTCTGATTCTGGTGACCCTGGATGTCCCACAGCTCCTCCCTGGAGGCTCCATGGAATCCCTAGACTCCCAGGGTGAGCTCACTGGGCTTGTGCTAGGTGTGGCAGCTTGGAAACCCAACATAGGAAATAAAGTGACAGATAGGCAATTACAGTGACAAGGTGCCAGGACTCATCCTGCAAATAGACTCCAGGCTGTCTAAGGTCTTTTGTGTGTGTGTGTGTGTGAGTGTATGGAATTGAGGATTGAACTCAGGGCCTCTTGCTTGCTAGGTCAGTTCTCTACCACTTGAGCCATGCCTCTAGCCCTTTTACTTTTAGTTTGTTTTACATAGTTGTGTCAAGTTTTTGCTTGGGTGACCTTTGACAGCAACCCTTCTACCTCCATCTCCCGAGCACGTGTGCATCACCATGCCTGGACCTGTCTAAGTTCCCAATGTCTCCTCCATCTGGCTTTGTACTGCTTGGTGGTTCTGGTTGTGTCTTTGGTGGCATCAGTGATAACAAATTGTCCATGATCCAGGAAAGTGGTTAAAGCAGATGTTTCAGAGGAGACAGATTGGGTTTAGATCACGGTGGTACCCCCCCTCCTATTTCTGTGACCTTGGGCAAATAGCTTAACCTCTTTGAGCCTCTGACCAGTGGGGATCACGGCAATACCTACTGTGGGGTCATATGGAAGGTGGAATGACATAATGATGTACTGAACGAGCATCTCCCTGTACCTGGCAGAGTGATGCTTGCTGAAGGCAAACTGTGGTCCTCCTGCCCTGGGGGAACCTTGTGGGTGAGCATTGGACACTTGACCCAGGAGGCAGCCCATTTTATAGATGAGAAAATCCAGGCCCAGTGAGGCCAAGATACACATGAATGGATGGCAAAGCCAGGATCTTTGAGCTACAAATTTAGTGCTCTTTCTATCACGCATGCTACTGTGTTCCAGGTGCAACATGTTTTCCCCTTGACAAAGCAGGTTTCCATCCCTTTCTTCTCTCTGTGTACTAAAGAAACCCCAATGAAGAGGCAGTACAAGCCCACTTGATAGATAAGAACACAGAGGCCTGCTAATTGGAGGTCTTGTAACCTACAAGAAATACAAATGCTCACTGGTGAGCACTAGTCCACCCCAGCAGCTCTGGACTTAAACCAGAAGCCACAGGCTGACTGCCCACAGGCTGATCTCCGGTTAGGAAAGACTCAACTAGTGACCTTCCCTCCCGCTGCCTCACTCGAGACCTTTCTGGTTCACCATTTAACAGGGTGACAAGCAGAAGAGAAGAGAGGCTTTAAAAATAACAACTGGCAAGGGAAAAAAAAACCCATTCACTAAAAGTGACAAGAATGGCCACTGTGTCTCCCGGACTTATTGCTTTCTTCCTCCCAACAGGCGGTGCTCATTTGTGTTTTACTGGCTAGTGACCAAAAGACAGAGGGTCTAGAGCCACCTCCAGTCTCCTGGCTGCCAATTCCCGGAAGCCCCCATCAGAGTCACTTGTCCCCTTGGGTGCAATGACTCAAGACAAATTTCTGTGACCCTTTGACTTGTTCTGCAGTAACTCCCTGTTTCATGAGGAGAAAGCCTGGGTAGGTGTGAGGGGGTTTGAATCAACTCCACACAGAGTCTAGGGCTGGACATGGGGGTTCCATAGCAAGACTAAGCACAGAACCCATCGATAGACCAGGTACTGCTGCTGGGTAGGTAGTGGCCTGATGCCAGCCACCTCACTGGCAGGTGTCTCCAGGGGGAGATTCCAGCAGGCACCACTACTCACAGAGCCACAAAGGGCCACTCAGGATCTAGGCCACCCGGAGACATAGGTGCTGGGGCTTCCTCTAGGTCAGAAACCACCTGGGTTTGGTAGCAGTTTTAAAAAGTGCCACTCCCAGTCCTTTATTGACTGATTTTTGGCCCAATGACAGACTTGCTTTGTACTACAATACACTAAAGCCAAATCCACCAGAAAGGTGACCGTTACCACACTGTTAACCCATACTCACTGTGTGCCAGGGACTAGTACACTATGTGCCTAGCTGTTGTGTCCTGTGAAATTCTTACAACAGTCCGAGGAGGTAGGTGCATGGATATCCCCATTTTATAGACAAAGATACTGAGGCTCAGAGAGATCATCTGATTTTCCCAGGTCACACAGCCAGTGGATGAAGGAACTAGAATCTGAGCTGAGCTCTGGCACCAGAACCTGTGTTCTCTCCATTTTGCCACTTTGTGGCACTCTGTCCTTTTGTCTATCAGTTATTAAGCAACATCCCCTCCCCACCATGCTGTGTGGTAATGGATTTGAAGAGGACCACATCACGCATTAATTTAGATTCCTAAACAAAAACATCAACAGTAAGTCAGGGCTGTCTCTGGGTGCGCACTGGGTGCCACCTGGTTTCCTATCCTTTTTCCAGACCCAGAATGCTGGAAGGAATCTCTGTATCATTTCATCCATATGGGGACAGAGCCCAGGTAGCTAAACTCAAAGGGCGTAGCTCCAAGGCTGCCCTCCTTCTCTCCACCTCCCCCCACAGAACAGTATCCAGCCTGACAGCAAATGAAACAGAACAGACATGGTCTTACTTCTCTTTCGTCCCGGTCCTCTGGAAGGGAAGTCACAGCAGTGTGACTGGGGCTGTGCACTCCAGGCAAGTCCCAGACTAGCAAGGAAGGCCGCCTCCAAAGGGCGGTTCCTAAACTCCTGGGATGGGAAGCAGCTGAAATGTACCCACAAGTGAGGCAGCTTTGCATTCCTGTTTATTCTGGTATCAATAAAAAGGAACTGTTACTATAGTGACGGCTATTTCACTTGGTGCTCAGCCACATCCACGATGTGGAACACCATGTCCAAGCCACCCGTTGGAGAGGCACAAATAAATACCTATTTTGTCAGATTGATGAGGAGTAAGAAACATGCCAAGCTTTGTTTTCAGCAAGACGCCCCCATGGGAAGGAATTTCCCCTGTTTCTAATGGGAGGGTCAGGCCAGAGTGGATTCCAGAACTTCCCCAGGGGAGGGAAGTCAAGCATCCAGTTACAGTGATGAATTCTTCAGGAGAAAACAGTTCTTAAGGTGCAAGGGGGTTGGGGGAGCAGAAGGAGCTAATGGATATTGACTCAGTTCTTGGTCAGCCTCTAATACACATCAGTTACTTGATATTGATGTCTCTGAACGTCACAGAGGAGCCAGCAGCAGGGTGTGGCCCAAGAGAGACCATGGGAGAGTGGCAGCTCAAGGGTCTGGGCCAGCAGGCTCCTTGTCAGCCTGGCTCTGGTACCAGCCCCTTCGGTGGCTACTCAGTACCTCTGAGCCTTGGCCTCTGCATTTGTTAGATGTGGAGGACAGCAGGGTGGTTGGGAGGCTACCGAGGGAGATGGCATTGATGAAAGCATACAGGCAGTGCTCAACAGTCAGACTTTGCCTGCAGAGAGAACTGGACTCTGTATATGCTGCCTGGCTGTGTCTCTGTGCCAGGAATAGTGGCTAATGAAAAAGTGAACAAATATAAAATAAAGCACACATGCAGATCCCCAAGCCAGCCTGGGTGCTTGCAGATAATAGAGGTCTTCTTCTAATTTCAGAACCAGTTTGCACTTGAAAATCTGGAATTTTCTAGAGTTTAGCATCATCCTCTATCCACTGGCAAGTAAACTAGCAACTAATACTTAAGCTGGCCTTTGTCTGACTTGACTTTCTTTCTTTTTTGGTGGTACTGGGGTTTGAACTTAGGGCCTCATGCTTGCTAGACAGGTACTCTTACCTCTTTAGCCACTCCACCAGCCCGACTTTACTTTCTTATGGAATCTTGGTTAGCTGGAAGGTGACAAGGCCCAAGGCACACCTCAAGCTTCAGTAGAGGCACTGCAAATGCAATTTTGTGCTTTCTTTGTCCTATGTGATTTGTTTACTTAGCAAACATTCATTCAGTACCTGTGGTGTTCCTGTTCCAAGTGCTGGGGATACAGTATGGAGACAGATGTTCTCTCTGTCCACAGGGAACCAGCATTCATGGGGGGGACTGAGACAGTGTATAAGGAGACACATAAAAAAGTGATTAGACTGGGGGAGGGGAAGGGGTGACTGGGAAGGGTGGACACGGTGGGGGATGGGGCACTGACTCACAAGGAATCAGAGAGAGAGTGGACAGTTAGTGGCAAGGCCCCACATGGGAAGGAGCTGGTTATGATGGGGGGAAGGCAGTGTGGCTGTGTGTTTGGAGTGAGGGAGATGGGGGATGGGGTTGAAGAAGGGAGGAGGGGGCAGGTCACGCCAAGTTGACCAGTCTGAGCAACTGAAACTTAGAAGGTCACACATTCTCAAGCATAAAACAGTTTTCTGGAGACAATGCATAGTCCTTTTGTTTATTCTTTCCAAGTTCTGCTTTTCTTGAAATACTTTGAATGGCAGCCTTCCCCAGCTCCCTCCACCTCCACCCTTACCTTACCCTAACTTCATTCACTAAACTCTTGTCAAGCCTCTCTGCTGCCCCTGGCTCCTTCCTGCACATTGTGCTACTTCTGCGAAGAAGTGATGTGAGCATTTCTTGGTCTTTCAAGTGGCTCATCTGACCCAGTAGCCTTTTGACAGTTGGGAAGACGAGAGGGGTTCTGGGCATGGGGACCCTGACAGTGTCTATTTACTACCTTCCAAAGACAGAATCCTATAGTCTAGCTCACTCCAGAGGAAGAAGCTCACCCCAGCAGTGACCTCCGTTGCCACCGTGCATTCGCTTTATTGGAAAATCTAGATGGCAGCCCCAGAGAACCTGAAGGCCAAGAAGCAGGTGTGGGAGTGGGCGGCAGGAATCCCCCAGGTTAGCACTATTTTCCCCAGTTATTCAGGACTCACTGTACTTATTCCTCCAAAGCTCTTCTCAGTGTCCAGCTTGGGTGGAGTCCCAGCAGGCTCACCCACCAGATTGCCAGCTGGAGGGCAGGAGCCTCATCCCAGCCTTGTTAGGATTCCTGTCACAGTACCAAGATGCTCAATAACCATGACCCAATGCACTCAGATCCCCAGGCTTATGGCAGCACCATCCAACTGCATGTGTCTTTGTGCCCATGTCCCTGGATGGGAGATTAGTGGTCAGCACCATTGCCCAAGCCACACCCATCAATAAGAGATGTGACACCCTGGGATAAGGTACAATCAACAAGCATGTCTATTGACTTGAAAAAGATGTCCCCATGTGTGGGAGGAAATCCAGCTGCAAATCACATGCAGTGTGTTCCCCCCTCCATTTTGTTCCAAGACAAAAATTAGACTATACATAGAGAACCAATCAGAGGCATATGCCCTTGTCTGGTAGCAAAAGTCATTTCTAGATTAATGTGTCTTAAGTGTCATTATTAAATATCATAGGAAAAGAGTTAAGATGGAATTATGGGAACATAGACTGCTGTATCAGAGTCTTTGAGGGGGGCCTAAATATGGATTTGTGTGTATATGTGTGTGTGTGCCTGTGTGTATGGTGCTGGGGATGGAACCCGGGGCCTCATGCATGCAAGGCAAGCACTCCACCACTGAGCCACACCCCCAGCCCAAGAAAATGGAATTTTAACATCTTCCCTTTGAGATTTGTTTATGTTAAAGAGTTTGTTCTATGGAATAAAATTACAGGCCCTTCTCTGTTCACTATATTTCTGTAATGTTTGTGACTTAAAAAAAAAAAAACTCTAAGCATATATTGCTTTTGTTATAAGAAAAAGAGCTGAAAAGATTTTTAAAAATGAGGAAGAATAACGTTTTCCATGCAAAGATATCTAGTTTCTGAATGTCATGTTGTTCAGTTATATCCATTTTGAATATGGGAAAAGAGAGGCCCTGGAGCCAAAGAACCTTGGGAGTTTACTCCAGGAAATGACAGGATTCAGGCCTGAGTTGCTGCTCCTGCCTCTGTGGGTGTGACTATGTCCCTGGAGGCCTCTCCATTCTTCTAGACGGAAGGGCTCTGGTTGGGGATCAGAATTCTTGCTCTACCCTACAGTGGGTGGAGGGGACTCAAGGGGATCCTAGAGGCTGAGCACACCTCTGCAGTCGTGGTCATGTCCCTTTGAAGTCTGTGGTCTTACAGAACCCGAGGCACCAAAAGGAAGGGAGATAGTGAGGACCAGATTCGTGAGGGGAGCTGAAAAATTTCCTGCATTTATTATGGGCTGGGTTGCAGCTTCTAGAAAAAAACACCCTCAAATGGCTTTCCTTTCATTTCTGTTCTCTTTTCTCCAAGCACTTGAAGCAGCTTGTATGGGCCCCCGAAAACATCAGAGAAGTTTCCATGGCAACTCAAAACTTCCTCCTCAGCCCTGTATTCAGTCTACATCCTCAAGGCCTCAATGAGGTTTCTGAGAAGCCAGGCACAAAACAGCCCTAGGATCAAACCATACCCCGCCTCCCTCACTGCCCCAATTGTGCTCTGCTGAAAGGACATGGCGGAGAAAAAGCTGTATTGGCAGGGAGGCTTGTCATGAGATCCGTAGAGAAATTATAAAAGGACGGAGGAGAGCAGCCTTTACAAGTTTGAATGGGGACTTCAAGCGTGAACACAGGATGGTGGAGGGGCAGGAAGAAGCAAGAGTCCTGTTTCGGAAAGCTGGGTCTCATCCCAGCTGCCATGAGGCATGGCTTATCTGGTCTGTGAGCTGCACAGAGGACCCTGGGGTCCCCCCACCTCACACACATTTTAAGTTTCTTGTAGCCAGAATGTAGAAAATAAAAATGGAGCACTCCCAGCTAAATTTCATTTTCACATACACAATGACTTTTTTTTTTTAGTATAAGCATATCCCATGCAATATTTGGAACATACTTCCACTAAACTGTTACTCGCTGCTCACCTGGCATTCAGATTTCCCTGGGCACCTGTGCTTTATCTGGCAGAGGTGCGGACGGAGGCTGCGTCTGCCCCCTGGCGGCCGAGGGGCAGAACAGGCACCTGGGGAAGGTGCTGTTTAGTCCAGGCTGCAGAGGCGCCTTCCTCCCCACCAGGTACCTGGCCTGAACTCCAGGTAGGGAAGTCCTGACTTTCATGACAGGACTTCATAGCTTTCCAGGCATGAGTTATTGCACAGAGGGGACACTCCAAGCCCAGTGGCTAAGAACATGCCAACCCTGGCTCCACTGGACAGCTAGGTGACCTTGACACCTTGTTTCCTCATCTCTAAAATGGGGCAGATGTTCTTTTGAGGAGCAAAGGACATACATAAGGTATGGAAAGACCTGTCACAGTAGCCGAGTTATCTTGATAACCCTGTTAAGAGCATTAAAGATTTTCATTCAAGTGAAAAAAATGGGATTAAAGACTGGAGTTGGTACAATCTCAATAGTGCAAAACAAACACACATGTGAACTATGCACAGCAAAGACTGGAAGGAGATGTCCCCAAATGTTACCAGTGACTGCTTATGGTTAGTGGGATTATGGGTTAAGCTTCCCCCTCTTTATTCTCAGTTTCCCAAATTATCTATGGAAGCATGCATTATTTTAACATTAATTTTTTTTCTAGCAGTGTAATTTTTCTTGGCACACAGCTTGAGGCTACCGTTCATGAACATGGCTGCCATCTTGGTTCGGATTCTCTCCTCTTGTCCTTGGGCACTGCTAAAGGGAAAAAGAGCTCACTCCATCATCACGTGACCCCACTCCCATTTTCATGTCTTGCTTCTCCTTGTACAAGGCAGCCAGAGGAGTGGTTCCAGAAGCACACAGCCCTAGGCGTGAATCTCAGCTTCATCCCTGACTAGCTATGTGGCCTTAGACAAGTCATGTTACCCTCTGAGCCTCAGTTTCCTCATATTTCCAACAGGGGTTAACATGACTTACCTCCCTGAGAGGAAGAATATGTCTGTTTTACTTATCAACCAATACATTACTGTACCTTGCTCCTTGCAAGTGCAAAGCCCTGAGTTCAAACCCCAGTTTCCCTCCAAAAAAAAGTACCGAATGAAACATTACTGTGCCTCACATAGGGCCTAATGCATAACATGGCCAATAAACATGAGTTGGATGAATACATGAATGAGAGGAGTTGGTGAG